AGGGCTTGGACTCTCCTGATGCTTCCCACAGCTTTCTGCTTCTCCTGGGCAGGGGTGCTCCGGCTGTTGGCGCTGCCAGCCTCCTCCTGCATGCCCCATCCAGGCCACACCTGGCCCCCTCACCCTCTCCCCTACCTCTGCCCTAAGCTTGCTTCCTGCATTGACCCTCAGGGGCCTCAGATCTGTTGCCCTAACACCCTCCTTTGCTTCCAGGATTTCCGGAAATATGAAGAAGGCTTTGACCCCTACTCCATGGTGAGAGAGAACTCTCCTCCCCCGCGAGTAACCCCAGGAATGGGGGCTGGGGGTTACAATGTGTTTGGTGGTAATACGTTCTGGGCCCTGGGGGTGCCAGGGATGAGCACATGAGGAGCCACAAGAAGGCCTTAACTGCTCCGCTCTTTCCTGTGAAGGCACCTTTCAAATGGCATTCAAGTGGGAAGTGTATGGGGTGTGTGTGTGTGTGTGTGTGTGTGTGTGTGTGTGTATCTGATAACAAGTTACACTCACTGAGCACTAACTACATGCCAGGCACTGTGCTGTGTGTTTATGAGACATGCTCTCGCCATCTCACAACATTCCCAGGAAGAATGGATCTGGGATTTGTGTGTGTATCCACATGTCCCCCAGGGGGCCTGGGACCCCCAGTTGAAGCCTGATGGTGGTGGGGCTGGGAAAGGTCCCCTTGTCCATGTCCTCCATAAGTGCCTGGGTCCCTTCCCACCCTGACCCTACCCTCATCCTTCAGACAGACTCAAAGCTCCCCACTGTCTTTTCCCTCTAGTTCACCCCAGAGCAGATCATAGGGAAGGATATCCGGCTCCTGCGCATTAAGAAGGTACCTGGGCACATGGAGGTTGGGTAGCCGCCACCCTTCTCTGCCCTTGCCCCTCCCATCTTGGTCCCCTGCTTCTTCAACTCTCAGGAGACTCCTGGCTGACTCCCCAGATCCCCACTGTCCCTCCTCTCTCCCTTGAGGGGGCCCCTCCTGTGGTGGTGTCCCACGCCCTGGCCCTGCCTGGTGACCATGCCTCATTTTCTCCCTACGGCCCTGCCATTGGCCCCATGGCTTCTCCTGTCCTCTACGTGGCCCTGTCAAGAGGCTCATTGCCCAGGTGCCCACAGGCTGCTGTCTGCTCGGCTCCCTAAGGCCTGTTTTTCTCTAACCAGGAGGGATCCTTAGACCTGGCCTTGGAAGGCGGTGTGGACTCCCCGATCGGCAAGGTGGTCGTCTCGGCTGTTTACGAGGGGGGAGCTGCTGAGCGGCATGGTGAGTGGGGACAGCCACGTCCTGGTTTGGGGATGGTGTGATGGTTCTACAGGACTCTGCAGGAAAGCCAACAGCTGCCCACTCGGAGTGGTTGGCAGTTGCTCAAGAATGCCCCTTCCTGTTCATCTGTCCACCCAGTACCACATGTTGCCTGTGGGCATACAGTGGTGCCAGGGCCTGTGGGTACACAGCCAAATCAGATATACCCTGCCCTCCAGGGGCTCCCCATCTAGTGGTGAAAATGTGCTCAGAATCGCCAGGTACTGAAAATAACAGTGCAGTCTGCCAAGGGCTGACAAAGGACTATGGGGGTGGAGGGAAGCTGTGGGAACTCTGAGGGGCCCCTAAGCCACCAAGGGAAAGGGGGCTGCTGGGAAGAGACCGTCTGTCAACAAATAGATCAATGATTACAAATTGTGAACTACGCTCTGCAGGAAAGGACCAGGATACAGTGAGAGAATAAAAAGAGAGATCTACCTTAGAGTGAGTGGGGGTCAGGGAAGACCTCTTTGAGGAGAAGACATTTCATTTCAGATGTAGACTAGATGAAAAAGAGAGGGAACAGTATTTCAGGTGGAACAGCAGGTGAGGCAGGAAAGAGCTTGGCCAGCTCAGGGCCCTGAAGCAGACCAGCAGGGCTGGAGCACAGAGAGGGATGGCTTGCAGAACTAGCTCATGTTTCTAGTAACCTCCCTGGGAATGCAGGCCTGCCTCCCTCTGAAAGAGCAGAGGCCCGTAGTAAAGCTGGGTGACAAAGATTATCACTGGTGTCCCTGTCTACTGAGTGGAGCGGGGGTGAGGGCGTGCGGACGGTGTGGGAAGGAAGTGCCTTTGAGCAACCTGGTGGATTGTTTCCCCTCGTGCTTCCGGAGCCCATGTAAGCTTTCAGAATCCAGGAGTCAAGCTCCTTCTGCAGGTCCACGGTGACCCCCTTAGCCAAGCCCTGGGCCAGGCACATGTCGCATACAGCCCAGCTGCCAATCAGCCTCATCTTCCCGCAGGCGGTCTTGTGAAAGGAGACGAGGTCATGGCAATCAATGGCAAAATCGTGACGGACTACACCCTGGCTGAGGCTGAGGCTGCCCTGCAGAAGGCCTGGAATCAGGGGGTAAGAGCGAACCTCCTCCCTGCCTCCCTCCCTTGCCTGCTTGCCTCAAACCCTGGCCTCTGCAACCAGGCCTTAGAGCCGGGGTTCCTCATCCCAGGGTGGGTATTCAGGATCCAGGCAACACTTGGGTGATGCCCACATACCCCATCCAGCCGAAAGTCTCAGTCTGACAATGTGGGATTCAGAAAAATAAATGTCAGTTCCTGATTTTGAATCCAAAAGCAAGTAGCACAGATACAGACTCCAGAAGACCAGGTGTGGCAACCCACCCAAGAAGAAAACTTAAGGTCTTCTGTAAGTGCGCACTGACCAGGAATCAAGAGAATGCCTTGGGGCTACTAGAAAGCATTCACAAGGTCTTCTGTAAGTGCGCACTGACCAGGAATCAAGAGTGCCTGGGCCTATTAGAAAGCATTCACCGAAGCAGAGGGCCCAGAATGGAGGAGGGGCTGAGGGTAGCCTGCTCTGTGCTCATTAGACACCTGGGTCAGGGCCACCACATAAGATCTCCCAGGCTGTGCACTGCACAACTCGAGGGGTGCCCTCCTACCGACTACAGTGTGAATGGCGCCCGCTCATGTTGTGCAATGCACAACCTGTGCAACTGTATGCAGGCAGCCGAGCCTGGGGTATTAAGTTCAGAGCCGAGGAAGCTGACCAGATGGGACTGGGACCCACATGAAGGGATGTGGAGAAGAGAAGACTTACGGGTAACATGATGACTGTCTTTGATTATCTGAAGGGCTGCCTTAGGGTAGAGGGAGCAGAAGTGCTTTCTGTGGTTCTTGAGGACAGAACTGGATTGGATGGAGGGAGGTCCTGGGAAGAGATTTCAGTTCCATATTAGGAGCTATTGCATGGTAGAGGGACCCAGTGGTAGTTCACATACCTTTTATTGAATACGCCCAAATCAAGGGTGGACAATGATGGATAAGCCAAGGATGGCAGTGATCTATTGAGGGGTGCATGTGTTAGGATCAGAAATCTAGGCCTGCAATTCCCTAATTGGCTGTACCTCAGAATAACTCAGGGACCTTGTTAAAAATACTGTTTCCCAGGACCTACCCTAGATTTCCAGGGGTCAAGTCCAAGAATCTAGAGTTTTAAGAAATTCCCCCATGACCCCAAGGTTGCTGCCTGGCCCTGGTCCACAGGTCAGCATTTGGGAACTTGGTGTCATATAAGGGCCTGGCAACCCTGGCTCTGTGGTTTGAAGCCTCAGAGACGGGAAGCTTCCCCAGACCATGGGGCCACAAAGTGAGACCCATCCCACCAGGAGGTCCTCCAGCCCCAACTGGGCCCACCTTCCCATGGGAAGAAGGTCCGAGCCAGCTGATCCTGGGCCATGGTGCCCAGGAATGGGAATGGAGTGTCAGGGGCAGGCATGCCATCAATCCCTGAGCATGCCCTAGCATCACATACCTTCTCCCCGCAGGACTGGATCGACCTTGTTGTTGCTGTCTGTCCCCCGAAGGAGTATGATGACGAGCTGTAAGTGTGTGCGGGAGCCTGGCCCACTACCTCCTCTGTCTCTTCCTCCTCCAGAATCTTGGCTCCCTTCTGCCAGCCCACTCCCAGCCTCCATCAGCCTGAAGGAATGGCCCAAGCACACAGCTTCTAGTAGAAATCACTCCTAGAAAGCACCGAGCTAGAGAAAGCCTAGAACTAAGTCATGGTCCTCAAGCATTTTCAGAGCTGTCTCTGAGACTATTTTTTCCAAATTCTTCTTTACGTCTGGAAAACTAAGGCCCAGAGAGGTTCAGGTCTCAGACCAAGTAAACGGTGAAGTTGGTACAAAGCCTCGGGACTTCTGATTCCCTGCTCAGAGGCTCAGCCCCCGCACCCTCATCAGCTAGTTTACAGATTTCTGTCTTTTACTCTCTGGATGGTCTCCCTGATAGGTAACTGCTTTGCTTCTTGCTGAGTCTTTAAGCTGCTAGGACCACAGACTTTGGCCCTACCTGCAGGATCTGCGAAGAGCCTTGGTCCAGTTTCCATCTTTCTCTGTGATTTCCTATATGTTTGTTTCTTTCTGTTTCATTCCTGTCTCTGTACCTGTGTGGGATCTCTATTTCATGCTCTCTCTGTCTCTTCCCCTACCTCCTCTGTCTCTTCCTCCTCCAGAATCTTGGCTCCCTTCTGCCAGCCCACTCCCAGCCTCCATCAGCCTGAAGGAATGGCCCAAGCACACAGCTTCTAGTAGAAATCACTCCTAGAAAGCACCGAGCTAGAGAAAGCCTAGAACTAAGTCATGGTCCTCAAGCATTTTCAGAGCTGTCTCTGAGACTATTTTTTCCAAATTCTTCTTTACGTCTGGAAAACTAAGGCCCAGAGAGGTTCAGGTCTCAGACCAAGTAAACGGTGAAGTTGGTACAAAGCCTCGGGACTTCTGATTCCCTGCTCAGAGGCTCAGCCCCCGCACCCTCATCAGCTAGTTTACAGATTTTGTCTTTTACCTCTCTGGACGGTCTCCCTGATAGGTAACTGCTTTGCTTCTTGCTGAGTCTTTAAGCTGCTAGGACCACAGACTTTGGCCCTACCTGCAGGATCTGCGAAGAGCCTTGGTCCAGTTTCCATCTTTCTCTGTGATTTCCTATATGTTTGTTTCTTTCTGTTTCATTCCTGTCTCTGTACCTGTGTGGGATCTCTATTTCATTCTCTATCTCCTTCCACTCTCTCCCTCTTCCCCATCCTCCCTGTCAATCTCCCACTCCCATCTGCCCCACTCTTTCCCCTTCATCTTTCTTCTCTTCATTGCCTTTCCTCTTCTTTCTTACTTTCTCCTTTGCTTCTCTATCTCTGAGTCTCTGCATCCATTTTTATCTGTCTTTCTCTGTCTCTGTCTTTGTGTCTCTCTGCCTCTCTGGTGTCTGACCTCCATCCCATCTTATCACATCACCTCCTTACCCCTCTGCTTGCCTGTCGTGGCTGGACCTGCCTGCTCCCCCTGCCCAGCAGAGGCTGAGTCCTGTGCATGTCTTGGAGAAATCAAGGTCTCATAGCAAGGAATTCTGGAACCCGGGGCCTAGGCAGGAGCCAAGTGAAGGGAGAGGTCCGATGGAGCTCTGCCTGGGAATAACTGAGCCCTGTTTTGTGTTTCCTGCTCTGCTCTGCGTATGTAGCTCTTCTCTTCCCTCCTCTGCAGCCGAAAGCCCCCAGCCGGTCCGAAAGCTCCTTGAAGACCGTGCTCCCGTGGTTAGACACGGGTTCTTCCTGCAGCTGGAGCCTGGCAGCCCCCCACGGTGAATAGGCAGGCGGGCTGCAGGGCCCCGTCTGTCCGTGCTGCGTGTCGTGGCCGTCTGCTGCCCATGCCGTCGGCAGGTTCTTTGGACTGGTGTCTGGAGGGGCACGTGAGGCGCCATTCCTGAAGTGCCACTCAGGCCTGCTCTTGGCCACACTGGGTTTCTGTTGGACTCGAAGGCTCCCTCATTCAGGGGAGCTGAGCAGAGCCTGCTTTGTAGCAGGCTGGGTCCTGGGCATCCTGACTCACCACAGCCCTGGGACCTGCCACAGGTCCCACACAGCACCCCAGTGAGCAGGATGGAGCGGTGAGCACCATCCTCTGCTGGGCACAGACAGTGCTTCAAACCGGGCACCACGGGCTTGGAGACCCCAAAGCAAGTGCAGCCTGGAGTTCCCCTTCCCTGGGGTGCCACCTTCTGGGAGCCCTGCTCCACCTCGCCCCATGCCTGGGCAGGGCCAGGGCGATTAAGAAGCAATGAAGGCTGGTCCAAAGAACCAGGGTTGGCCTATTGGGGTTGTTCATGTTGTGACCTGTTGTGGCCTGAGCCCGGCTCAGACCAAACTGTCCTCTGTGCCTTCTCTCTCCCGTGGCTCTGGATTCTTATCTGAGGGACACTGTGGAGCCCACCTGTGGGATGTGTTTTCCACCCTGTGACAGGGCTGTGCCCATGGGCAGAGCTGGCAGGTGGCTGTGAAACTGGTGTTTGGTGTGGTCTAAAGCCCACAGCTGGCAGCATTTAGGACAGACTCAAGCCTGGACTTATGTCTTTTCTGTCACAAGTTCCTCAAAACATAAGGGCCTGACTCAAGCCTGGACTTATGTCTTTTCTGTCACAAGTTCCTCAAAACATAAGGGCCTCATGCTCCCAAGACCATTGGCCGGCTCTGCTGTGGTTTCTGGGATGGCCTCAGTGGCCCTATGTTTTCTGTTGCTTGTCCTCTGCTCTTTGTGAGGGACCCCAGCCCCTCTGCCTTCTGGTCCCCTCCTACCTCATCCCAGGTGTCCCTTCTGCTTCCTCCCTGGCCTCCTGTGTGCTGTGGCTATGACTGGTGTGTAGCTGCTCGGGGCCTGCACCAAGAGGGGCTGCCAGAGGTTGGCAGGGCCGTGCACCCCTGGGGAGTCCTGCCTGTTGTCAGGCCCTTCCCTGGGCTGAGTGTGTACCCACAAGGCCTGCACCCTCCTGGTCTGTTTTATCTTCCACACAGGACCTTCTTCTGAAGTCCGGAAGGAGAAACCAAATTCACCCCTCGAAGCCAGTTAGCTCTGGACCCACCCTTCTGAACACAAAGCCGGGAACCAGCCTTGAGAGACGCCAGCCTGCAGGCACCCTGGAAACCCACAGTCAGCACCCAGCGGCTTAGACACCCATTGGCCCTGTAGAAGAGCTGCATAGGAGCACCTCCGGCCATTGCTCTGAAGGCCAGTATAGAGGGAGAGCAGCCAATCGTTCTGGAAGGGCCCCTGGAAACCGGACTCGCATGTCTTCTCTCTGGCCCTGTGAATTTGGTCTCTCCCCGCCCTGGGAGACTTCTCCCTTGAAATCCAATAGGACCTGACTCTTCGGTCCCACTCTCTACACCCTTCTCCCCTTGGTCCTGCTGTCATTGCTGCTAAGATTGCTGCCACAAACCTTACTCTGAACTCATCAATAAAATAAACAGATTTCTTTTCCAGCTTACAGGAGAGAGTGTGGATTTGGGTAGCAAATTCAAGACTGTGAAATTAAAAAAACAACAACACATAACGTTTTGGCTCCTAATCAAGAGTGAGAAACAGAACCCAGTGCTGGAATTTGGGTCTCACAGGAAGGAAATAATCAAGGCCAGGGGCTGGCTTGGAGCCAAGGCTGAGGCAGCAGAGCCAGGCTGAGCTGGGCTTCAGTGTCTTCTCAGCAGAAAGATGGCAGGAAATGAAGCCAGTGTCGTAGAGACTTTACTCAATTCCAGAAAGCATAGCTTTAAGCAGGAGCCCCAGATGGTTGCCTCAAGGTGTGGGGTTCCCCAGCTTCTCTCAGGGACAGCATGGCCACAGCTGCTTCCCCCGAGGTCACCAAGACAGGGTGTGAGTGAGGGAGGTGCAGGGGTCCAGCCCGTCCATGAAATTACATCCAGCAGAACCTCATGGAAGGAGACAGGGCCTGAGCCAAGGAGCTGTCGGGGGATAAGTGGTGGCCCTCCTGGTCACAGGGCCCAGGAACACTCTCAGGCTAGCTCCAGGGAAGAGAGTGGGGTCGTGTCAGTATAGGCATCTTACGGAAATCCAAGCCAAGGAAACATAGTGTCCTCAGGCCTCCTGAGAATTGGAAGTGGAAAGTGGTTCTGATTTACAGTGTCTCAAAGGAGCAGTTCTCTCTGTTCAGGCCTCCTGTCTCTGCCACCAGCTTCCTCTGTACCCCCAGGGCTCAGCTTGAACATGGCCATCATGATCATCTGCCAAGCTCTAGGTGACTTTTCGGCTGTAACTGCATCACCATCACCTGGCTCAGTTTCCATTTCCCAACTCCAAATTCCCAAGGCAGAATCTGATTGGGCCAACTCATCGAGTGGGCAGCCCTAGGGCCAGGGATCATTCCAAGGTCCAATCAGCTATGTCTAGGGGTGGGACCAGGTTCCACCTAACATAGCTGCTGAGGCAATAGAGACTGTGGGGAGCAAGTCATGATCGATGGGAGGCTCAGAGAATGAGAGAATCTGTTGGACTTTCTGATCTCAGTGGAGACAAAGCCACAATGACCTTCTAATAGTTGGCTCCAGAGACAGGAGCCATGCTGAGGAGTTCTCTGTATTTTTCTTATCTAGCTCCTGACTTGACTCTGGAGACAATTCCAAAATGAAGGTAAAAGGAGGTGGCTCATCTTTGCTGCCACCTACTATGTGCGAGGCCTGGGCTGGACCCTGGTGTCTGCCACCTCAAACTGCAATGACTGGGATCGGTGCATGGCCCTCCAAAGAGCCAACACTTAGCATTGACTGCATGACAGGGACTATCCTAACCACTAAGCTCATCTGCTTCCCTCAACGACTCTACAAGGTAGGTAATAATATCATCACCAACCCCGTTTTGTTAAGAGAAGAGTGAGGTACAAAGAGGTTAAGTGACTTTCCCTAGGTCACGTGAGAAAGTGGAGCTGGCACTTGAAGCCCAGGCACTCTGACCCCAGAGACCATACCCTCCTCACCACATCCTTTGCAGGGCAGGGCAGCCCTAGTGGAATGTCTCAGGTTCCAGACCTTTGGTAGAACAATTCTCCCCATAGTTGAAGAACAACTAACATTCTGCTTGCTGTTCAGCGATGGTTACCTCCTTGTGTGACTCACAAATACTGCTGCTGAGGCCTCCTGCTTGTTGATGCCTGGAATCTCAGCATTGGAAGTTATCTCCAGCTATTCTTAGTTCTTGGCACCTCAGAACAAATGAGTTTATCAGTGCTTTTCAGCGCTTGATGAGTGGGACAACAAAGAGGGCCTGAGCCCCTGGTTAGAGGAGAGGAACAGGGAAGGTGTGCCACTGGGCAGGGTGGGAAGAGGGAATAGGGGAGACTGGGATGTGAGTGACATAAGTTCTGAGCCACGAGGTTGCCTAGGGCTGGCA